ACCGCAATCCATTGCTAGAATCTAATACTTGCCTGTTTTGAGCATTGCAATAATTTTATTTACAGTATATAAATGAAATTATTATTTCAGAACAGTTATATCTTTCGTAGAGCTAATTTAATCCTGATTTGTTATCTTTCTGGGTGTTTCAGTATTACTATGGTATTGATCCCTAGTAATTTCTCAGAACAATAAATCATTGGAAGGGTAAATTTAATTTATTTGATAAGAAAACAATCTATTTTTTAAAAAAATATTTTACTAAGTTTACAGACTGTTAACAAGTTCAATTCAGGTACTGTCTTTAAATCTAGATTCACTTTAGCATCAAAATCACTAACTTCAATGTAAAAAAAATCTCTTTGTTCACAAAAGAAGCTCGTATTTCCCTAATATTCTTAATTTCTAAACTCTTATTGCCATTTTCAAAAACATTTCAAAGATTTAGCTTATAAGCTCATCTAAATATTTATAAGCTTAATACTAACATCTGCTGGCATTCATTGAGATTCAAGTAAATCCATAGTCTGCACAAAGGACAACTATATTAGTAGCAATTTTTTTTCAATGCCAAGCCATACTACATCGGTACTTTGTAGTCAAGCCTACATATAGAATAAAATAAAATTCTTTACTAGCCAAGTGTGATTGGACACAAAAGGAAGTTGTTTCCAGTGCATAAGCTCTCAGTGTACATACCAACAACAAAGTCTCATAAGTCATAGATCATAAATCATAAGATACAAACAGCAATTGATACATCATAATACACCAATAGGAGAACGTATTAGGAAAGATGAGAGGTGAGAAAGATAAGAAGATGAGAAGGATGAGAAGGTGACAAGGATAATAGCAATACAGCCTACTACATGGGTAAATATCTTTAGGCAGAAGACAGTGTTGTAGGAGTTAGATATTTAGCACAGTGATGGCATGGGGGAAGAAACTATATTTGTGTCTAGTTGTTTTGGCAAGCAATGCCCTATGTCTTGAAGGGAGAAGTTGAAACAGTTTATGTCCAGAATATGAGGGGTCTGTAGATATTTTCTCAGCCCTCTTTCTGGTTCATGCAGTATACAGGGTCTTCAATAGAAGGCAGGTTGGTTGCAACTGTTTTTTCTGCAGTTCTAACTATCAGTTGAAATCTGTACCTTTCCTGTTTGGCTGCTGTGCTGCCAAAATATGATTAAGAACATATTCCCTAACAAAATATGATTAGGAACATATTTCCTAATAGAAATTCCTGTTGAATTCAAGTCTCCAATACCTTTCCCCACTAGCACTGATGATATTACCTAGTTTATTTATTTATTTATTTATTGGTTCAATTTATATGCCGCTCTTATCCGGAGACTCAGGGCGGCTTACAATGCGTTAAGCAATAGCCTTCATACTTTTGTATCACACACCCCCCCAGCGGTGTTCTTTTTTATACAAAGTCAGCTTATTGCCCCCACAATCTGGGTCCTCATTTTACCTACTTCGAAAGGATGGAAGGCTGAGTCAACCTTTTGGGTTTGGGTAATAAAACATCTGCAAGAAAACAACCAAGCTCAAAGAGGACCCAGGACCACTGATTTCAACCCTGAGCTACAAATAACCTCTGTCATTGGTTCCTCATCTGTTTTTCACTGTAGCATTTGAAGTGGTTTAATTCTGTTGCAATCTAGATAATATTTTGCAGTTATAATGTCTAGTTGTTTTTACACAATCCCAAGTTTTTTCAGTTGATTCTTTGCTACTTCTCCTTCTCTCCCCATTTTAAAAAATTACTCACTAAATGAAGGCATTTTCCCACTATAGCTTCCACTTATCTTTATAAAGCAGCCTTATGAGGAGAGTGCATTAAATACCAATTAGTTGGTACCTTGCCTGAAGCTATTGCCATCCTGGAACTACAGAAATACCCTCCTCTATTTTGTTGATGAAATGGACTGGTTGCTATGGGAAGTAGCTGCTGTACTGCCAAAGTACAGTCCCTCTTCTGACTTTAAAAGAAAAAATGTCATATTGGACAAAGATGGAAAGATTTGGTGTTATCCACAACGTAGGTATGATGGGTGAAGATGGCTAAATTTATGATTTTGATGATTAGACAGGCTATATTGTAGAAAGAAGAAAGGTATATTGTAATCATAGAGTAAGACATAAATTAATAATTGTACATGTAACTGTTATAAGATTGGAAGCTTCTTTTTCCCATTTTTTTTACTTCCTTCCCCTTTCTTTCACTTTTAGCTTTCTCTTTGATTTCCTACTTCTTTTCTTTTTCTTTCTTTATATTAGTTTGTATTAGCAATAGCAATAGCACTTAGACTTATATACTGCTTCACAGTTCTTTAGACCCCTCTCTATGTGGTTTACAGAGTCAGCCTATTGCCCCCAACAATCTGGGTCCTCATTTTACCAACCTCAAAAGGATGGAAGGCTGAGTCAACCTTGAGCCTGGTGAGAGGCGAACTGCCGGCAGTCAGCAGAAGTATCCTGCAGTACTGCATTCTAACCACTGCGCCGCCACAGTATTAGTCTTCATCTTCCTGTATTCAAAAAAATCTTTAATAGAAAAAATGACAAATTGGGATGATGCTTTGGAAGCTGAACTCCTTTATAAGGAAGACTGGCTTAGGCTCAGAAACTGAAGTTAGTCAAGAGTTTCTACTATTGGAAAAACTGTGAGGTCCTTGGTGCTTTCAAAGCTTGGTTGTTATTGTTGTTGTTGTTTACAGATGTTTCATTTCTCAACTAGGTAACATCACCAGCACTGATGCTGTTACCTAGTTGGGCAATGAAATAGCTGCAAGAAAACAACCAAGCTCAGACAGCACAAAGGACCCCACAGTTTCACTCTGAGATACAAATATTGTCTTCTGATGGGAAAACTGTCTGTCACAAGCTTCAAAGAACTTCTGTGATGCAAGGAAAACAGCAGCTTTGTGTGGGTTTCCCCATGAATTCCAATGCAGCCAAGAAACAAAGAAACAAATTCTGCTCTCAAATCTATTTACTGTATATGAGCCTATATTTGTAACTGCCCCCTAGCAGAGATGCCCATAGGAAGGGTCAAGGAGAGACAATGATGGAAGAGTATTACAAGTTGGCCCTTCAGGATATCTGTCATGATACAGCTTGCATATACAAAAGAGATGGAGCTTCCAAGATGACAGTGCAATATTGCTTTTATTATTTTGGATCATGCCAATAACACTAGCTTATGTACATTGCACATCAACTCCCCAATCTTCCATTCAGTGTTAGCTATTCTACCCCTGTCTTTCTTCATTTTTATTGGTTTAGTTGGTGTTTTTTTCTAAGCTCCCTCTATAATTTATAAATTTCCTCTTTCTTTTCTCCTATCCTTGTCAGCTTTAACTTTCATTTCTAATTTTATAGAACCAGCTGTTCTCTTCTGGATAATAAATAGAAGTAGGAGAAAAAAGACCACAATCTGAAAAAAAAAAGTATAAATTGTTTGCATGGCACACTTCTCTAAAAGGAGATAATTTTCTGTATTTGAATGGTGGAGGAAAACATGTTCTCTTACATGTGCTTTTCTTCTCCTCCTTCTTCATGCGCTTGAGGCGTTTCAACATTCCCCGTAGATCAGTGATGCCATATTGAAATGCAATTTTCTCATATTCTGATGGCGGAGCATTCCGAAGGATTTCCCAGACATCAACCTCTGGCTGAGATTCAAGTTTTCCTTCATTTCTACAAAGAAAGGAAACATAGCCTCACATTATATTTCACTTGAGCAATTGAGCAACATTCAGGATCTTGGTTTCTTGGGTTTAGACCAGGGGTGAAATGCTCCCGGTTCAGACCGGATCAGCCGATCCCGTAGCGATGGTTCGGAGAACCGGTAGCAAAAATCCCTGCCCCCCCCCATGTCCAGCTGAGCCGCGCGATCATCAGAAGCTTTTTTTTTTTACTTTTAAAAGCATTTTTTCTACAACCTCTTCAGCTGAAGAGGTTTTAGAAAAAATGCTTTTAAAAGTAAAAAAAAAAGCTTCTGATGACTGTGCAGCTCAGCTGGGATTGTCAGAGCCTTTTAATAGCATTTTTTCTTTTCTCTTCGGCTGAAGAGGTTGTAAAAAAAATGCTTTTAAAAGCCTCTGACGATCCCAGCTGAGTTGCCTGATCGTCAAAGCCTTTTAAAAGCATTTTTTAATAACCTCTTCAGCCGAAGAGGTTGTAGAAAAATTGCTTTTAAGAAAAAAAAAAAAAACCTCTGACGAGCAGGCAACTCAGTTGGGATCGTCAGAGCATTTTAAAAGCATTTTTTTACAACCTCTTCCGCCAAGTCACATTATCCCCCACCAAGCCACGCCCACAGAACTGGTAGTAAAAAATTTTACATTTCACCACTGGTTTAGACATATGCAGTAAATGTGAAGGGTCTGGACCACTTCACCATTCACATAAGCAAGAAAAACAAGATGGGAGTAAATGGTCTGTGGGTAGCAGAATGCTGTTGGTTCCCTAACATAGAGCTAGTAATCCTGTATTTTGCAGAATGTACAAATGTGGTCTGAATAGCTTGGTGATAAAGCAACAGCTGGGCCTTAGTTTCAGATTCTTAAGGTTGTGGTTAAGGAAAACTTTCTACATGTTTTGCATGAATTTATGGAAAAATCTTCCTTAATTATAGGTAAGTGCCTTATTTTAAAATTAATACTTAAAAAGTATTAATGCCATCCATGGACTCTAAAGATGACTTTATTCCAAAGGATGCAAGAATTTAACTTTGAATAATATGATAATGAAATCATGATTGTTTGTTATTTTCATGTCTCTTAAATATATAAATCTGTTTAATTTTTTGTTTGGTGTGTTATTAACAAAAACATGATGAGTTTTCTAAAGTATTACATTTTAACACATATTATGATATATGATATCAAACAGAGTCCATAAAAAATGTAATATATTTATTAGCCTTTAAAATGCTATATGCTATAAAGTTATTTTTTTTTCCTTTCCCCTCCTTTTTGGTACAAAAGACAGTTACCTTTCTGGAACAGATTTACTGACAATTATCACTAGAGAAGAGATGGAGTGAATGCTTACCGATGTACCGAGCGCAAGAAACTGCTGGACTTCCAAAACAATGCCGAGAAACATTTGCAGGAACATGCAGCAGCGTCCCCATAAGCAAGAGAGAGGGCATCAGGAGTTAGTAGTATCAGCAGCCATCACTAGAACAAGCTTCAACTTCCTTGATAGAAAGTCTAAATATTTACCACACCGAAAAATGGTAGCACAGAAGCAACTGCACACACAACAATCCAATTCAATGTAGCTTATAGTCTTATAATTTATACCAGTCTCAAAAGAATATGTCACTAGTCTACTGCTAGTTTTTCTGGAGGTTGACCTTATTCAAAAAATTGACAGGAGCTTACTGTGTGCCAAAAATCCTAACCACTTATACCAAGTAATGAAATCCGTGCTGGCAGTGACTAATGAAGGAGAGAAATCTTGGGGTAATGATAAAAAGTTATATGGAAGTATTGATGCATTGATGCATTGTGCATCTCCTATAAAAAAAAGGTAAATTTTATGTTTGAGATAATAAGAAACAGTATTGAAAATAGAGAAGCCAATATAATGTCATTATATTAAATAATGATGTAATCATATCTGGAATATTTTGTGCAGTTGTGATGATTGCATCTCAAAAAGATATAGTGGATCTAGAGAAGGTTCAGAGGAGGCCAACAAAGATGAGGAAAGGTTATGTACATTTGGGACTTTTTAGTCTAGGAAGGAGGAAAATGAGAGGAGACACGATTGAAGTATGTGTGGTGTAAATAAAGTGCCAAGGAGAATCTTTTTTCCATTCCCAAAATACTAGAACCTGAGGTCACCTAATGAAATTAAATCCTGGAAGAATTAGGAAAAACAAAAGGAAGCATTTTCCTTTAAACAATCTGTAAACCTTGGAATTTGCTACTACTAGAAATGGAGTGCTGCCTGTCAATTTATGGAAGTCATGGGGATTGGTGGTTTCTAAGTTTGACATCACTGTGATTGGGAGACAAGTAGCCTTCTTTGTATATTCGCTCGGCCAATGTGAAAACTGGCTTCTGGGCGAGATAAAACAGCGGTGTGATCCAATTCTTAATGGTCTTTTCTAAAACTGAGAAAATTCTACCGTCTGCCATTCTTTGGGAAAGTACAAATACAGCTATTGATTGGGATCAGTGGTGAAATCCACTTACCTTTGTTACCGGTTCAGGAACGGGAGCACGTGGGAGTGTGTGCATAGCATGCACGCGTGCACCTCTTCTGTGCATGAGCAGAACATTCTGCACTTGCGCAGATGGTAAAAAAACGGGATGTAATAACGTCCTGGTGGGTGGGCGGAGCCTCCTGCCAACGGTGCTACCAGTTCAGCGAGCCGGATAGAACCGGGGGGGGGAGGGGATTTCACCGCTGATTTGGATATTTAATTTATACTGAAGTAATTCAGTTCAATTAGTGAAACTTTATTCTTCAGTATAGCAGAATCTGTGCTAAAGGGACTATTCCAAATCACATTCAAACATCACTGCCCACCTCAAAACCAATCCTTGCTTTGATTTGGTCTCAATCGAAGTTGGTGAAATAATGATATCGAAGTCACAAGTCAGATCTGCACCATCCTAAGAATGATATTAACAAGGGATTCTTCCAATTCTCCTAGCTTGCCACTTAGAAAACTAATCCACAAGGCATTATGCTTCTTATTGTAAGTGATATAGAAAATAATCCCAGAATTATTCTATAAGGGTGGGTAGAATTAAAACAATCTTTGCCAAATTGAGGTCTCCAATTGTCTTGAACTACAGTTTCCATCACAATATAAATCGTACTCCCATATAGCTGGAAGGAACCAGGTTGGGCATGGCTGTTTTACTTTTTTATCTAGTCCTACCAAGTGCAAACTAGCTATCTAGAAGCTTAAACTGCGAAAATACCAGCATCTGTAGTGACCAGTTTTCATATAGACCATTGTCTATCCCTGCAGTATTCACACGTGCATACTTCAGCACAGGGAGTTATGTAAAATCATGTCATCAGGAGTGAGACTATTTGGCATAGTTCTCTCTTGCTTGTGTATTAGAGAGTTTCATTAGGTCCTAACTAACTTGGAGTTATGTGTTATAAACAACCATGAGAGTTTAAATTGTTGCAAACAACTAACAATGGTTTTTCCTATCCTATTGCTTGGATTCTTAGAATGTCAGCTGTCACCTCCTCTAGTAGTCTCTGTCATTGTCTGTCCCACACTGGGGTGACAGCTGTTCCTTCTGCTTGGTCTGTGGCACCTGTACTGTATGTCTGTGCCATCTATTCAGACTATCCTGTTGGAAAGTAATACTTGTGAAAAGCATAATATAAAATTTCCATTGGAAGGAGATCCGGGAAGAGAGTCATTGGGTAAGTATATGCATTTCCAAAAAAGAACATTTCAGCCCTCTGAAAAAAGTTACATAATCTTCCTGTCTCTTTACTGTGATTATGAAACAAAAATACAGGAACAAATCAGTTGCACTATGCTACCATAAGTATTTAAACTGAAACCCTTATTTCCGGAGCCAGACGAGTCACATTAAAAATAAAATCCGTTTAAAAATGAGTAAACTAGGGTTATAACATTAAACCCCAGATATACTCTTTTGTATCCAGTGGGTCTTGCTTTTAAGTGCCAAGCTGGAATAATGCCATTTGAGCAAGTACCATTTTTACCTGAAAGGTGAGACCCCCCCCCAATTTGGCTTTGAAATAGAGCGCAATCGAGAGAACACTTTAGTTTTCTGAAAGATGATGCAGAAAGCAGATCGCTTGATAGAACCTCTTGGGGCATCTAATAGTTTTCTAAGTCATGTAAACAAGGCAGATGTCCCTGACAACATATAGCACGGTAATGAACTCAGTAGAATGTAAGGTGAATGGACGAGAAAGAATCCTTCCCATCACCTCCCTCTAAGTGCTTTACTCTTCTGTGTGTGATCTGGTTGGAAATGAATTCAGCTTAAGAAATCCTTTCCAATTTTCGACCCATTCCTTCACTATCACTTATAGTGATAGTCTGTTCTTCTGTTTCAACCACGCTTACCATGGCCGCTAAGTGCTTTTTCTGATTGTTTATCTTTTCTCCCCACCCCACTCACTCAGGCTGGGAAAGCAAACACCAACTGCTTTCCTTTTATGGGTTGAGAACACAGAGTTTCCATTGATGGGCCTTTTGTATGAGTCGGCCTCCTCCCCCCTCCCCATTTCCTTATACTTGATACCTTCTTGTCTAGTCTATCCTAGAAAGAAAGAAAGAAAGAAAGAAAGAAAGAAAGAAAGAAAGAAAGAAAGAAAGAAAGAAAGAAGGAAGGAAGGAAGGAAGGAAGGGAAAGAAAGAAAGAAAGAAAGAAAGAAAGAAAGAAAGAAAGAAAGAAAGAAATAAAACACTAACTTATTCACTGTCATAATACATATGGCAAAATATTTCTGAGAAAAAGGTAGGGCAGAGAGGTACCCAGTCCAGATTGGGATTAGTAGTAGGGAAGATAAAGTTTATATGCTTTTTCTTTTATATCTGCAGTTCCCATTAAAACAAGAACGGGCAATGTTTAGCTCTCCAAACCATTGCTGTGACTCTGAAAGCTCTGACCATGCGACTCAATTTCAACTGTGCAAATGTGGACAATTAGTATGACATTTTACGGCTATGATGGAGGAACAGGAATTTTCTGTCCAGTACCAGTAGCTATGGTTCTTCTACCAAATCAGAACTGCTATAGGGTGCAGAGAGGGCATTAAAGCCTTTTTAGCTCCATCAGGATCTCATCCTGTCTCTACACCCACTAATGCAAATGTATGGATGATATTGGCTCAGGGTCCATGTTCATAGATAAAGGTTGTGTACCAGTTTTTTATATTGCTTATTTAAAAGGCTTCATGTTACCTTGAGAAAAAGAAAGAAAGAAAGACCTTTCCTCTCAAACATTAAGATATAGAACTGTTTGAAAATTCTCATTATTTTCTTAAGACTAAATGTATAAATAATCTTCATTGTAAACATAATCATTCATCAGTATAGAATTCCAAACTGCTAAATGATTTATATGATAAAGGCCTTACATCCTTCTGGATACCATGTTTTAGTCTTGCAGATCCTTGCAGATCCTTGCAGCTGCAAATTCACAGTGGTTGGAGGTGTGGGAAACACTCCAATAATTTAGCAAAAATATTTAGAAGTCATTTCAGTTCAACTCTCTGAGAACAGGACTTCCTTCCAATTTTTTTAGATTTCTAGCAGTTTTTAGATTCAATACTGGTTCCAAATCAGCTTTCTAACATTCCAGTGGAACATAGATAATTAATATTAATAAAGACTTTATATTATTTTCCTATGGTTAAAAATAGTTTAGTTGATACTGAAATGACATTTATCCCTCCATTCCTTTTTTCTTCATTAGGTATAATTGAAAATTATGATAGATTATCATAATAGCAAAATATGATCTCATTTGAAGGATAATTCTGGTTTTAAATAAAACCAACTATCAGTTTTTGTCTTATTGTTAATACTTCTACCTCACATTAACATAGTCAACTTCAGGCTCAAACAATACATCACTGCAGCAACATAAGTTAGTAACAGGGCAAAAACAGCTGTCATTTTAAAAGATTTTGCAATGTAATTTACTGCAGAAAGGCTATTTTAGCTCAAGTGCTTTTGTGAGATATGATCCATGGATGATTTATAAGCTTCTTATTAAAGAAGTAGGTCCACCTCAGTTACTTCAAGAAGGCAGAAAAATGGCCCTTAGATATGATTACATATATAGAAGATACTCAAAGTTAATTCCCAAATAACATATTTTGGAAATTATGCAACAAAAGTGCTCTAAAGTAGAATATTACGCAAGCAAATCAATGAAAGTGACTGCTCCATCATCCACTCGAGCTATATTTTAAATAATATCTGAGGTGATATACGTATACGTATATCCCAAAGCACTGGAAAAAATGGATGCTTAAGTAAACTGCAAACCATACATACTTCATGCAGTTTAAAAGGAATGAAAGTAAAATCTTACTCTCTGTTCCAGAATTCCAAGC